ATTGAAACCCATCAGTAGTTTGGTTGAAAAACCTTTTAATCTCAGTATGAAGAAGGTCTTTATAAGGGACAGAAGCCTAACCCTTGGCAGGGATGCGCTGATAAAAACAGTGGATGCCAGTATCACTTCTTGGCCTGGGGAGACCAAACCAAGATAGTCAGAGGCTTAATCTATGTGGGTCAGCATTTACTGAGGAGAAATGAGAATCAGGAGGCTCGTTTGATTGACGATAGAATTGACCAACTGTGCTGCATGAATGAAGGGAAGATATTTGTATGAAATATGAATAGCCGTGCAGGTAAGGGAGGAGTTGAGAGTTCTCTAAGAAAAGCAGCTGGGCCAGGTCATGGATCAGGGACGACCCACATGGACATTTAATCTGAGCAGGAGTCCAATTTTAAAAGGAAAAATGTAGATATCAAAAAAGGTGATGGAAGAAAGGTCTTATTCCTCTGGTAACTATTTTTCTAGCTAAGGCAATTGAGAGGGTTCATAGAAGAACATTGAGCTTTGCTGGACAATAATAGTCCCTGGAAGAGAGACTTCTATTTGTAGAATCAGCTAGGATCAAAGATGGGATGGGCAGATCTTGTCTAGGTTTGTATAGTCTAAAGAGCCACTGTAACCCTTGAATATAAGGCAGGAGAACTTTAAGCTGATTTCCTTTCTGGCATTGTATGATTGAGTGGGAATACCACTGCATCAATTAAAGGCATTTAGTTTAAGGAATTTAAGAATTAGCCCATCTGCAAATTAAAATATTAGCTAAAGTATAATAAAACCAAAGCCATCCCCTTGCCTCAAGTGGAACATAAAGGAGATCGTCATAGTGGAGGGTACTTACAAGACGAAAGTTATAATAAAAAACTGTTGGAATAAAAAAAAATGTGTTTAGCATCTTTTATTTCCCATTGCTACAACACATATTTTATAAAAGGCCTAGCCTCACCCACATATGGGCAGTTTTCCAAATAATGATTGAAAACTGAGCAGACTAACTCTGGTGGTGTTTTTGTGCCACAAAACTGTGCCAAACAGCCCCTGGTTTCAAGGAAAGGAAGGATATAGCTAACTTCTTGGGGAATGCTGGAGACTTTTCGGCTACTTAAATCTTGTTGGAAGCAAATGTTGTGAAAGACTGGTTTGCTGCTATTGGCTCTAGGAGTGTCTATTTTTCATTACTTACCCTTAAGCCAAGTATCTTTCTCAGGGCTTTTCTCATTTTCCAAATTCAGATGAGTGAAGAGGATATCGGATTTTGCTACTCTATTACCAAGCAGACAGATGGAGTTTGGAGAACCGGAGTGAAGCAGCAGAATGTTAGCCTGCCTTCTTCCCTGCCAGATCCCCACTGATGGGATAGCAGCCTCTTGAGTTGGCAGTATTTGTTACTCTTTTGCCTTTAATTCAGAAGGCCATTCAGAGGGAGAAGATATTTAACTTTACCCAGTGTGCATTTTCATCGGGCCACTTTTGCCAGAGATTCTGCCCTTTCAATAAGATACTGAATGAAGTGCAAGGATCTTTCTTTTGTGGTGGGAGGAACCATGGTGCCTGGGTCAGATCACCAGTATCCACTTCAGCCAGAGCTTTGAGTAAGAATGTTCTGGAGACAAAATGTTCTTGGGTGCAGCTTACTAGTGTTTGTAGGACATTATTCCTCAACCCAGTAGTTGATCCCTTTTGAGGGAGGGGCATGAGTGGAAACACCAGACCTCACTGCTCCCCAGGGCTGACTCTCCCAGTGGTGCAGCTAGTACCTGAGCAGTGGGCTGTTATGAAAACGGAGCCTAGAAACGAACACGGTGGGCCATTATAATTCATTTCCTGTCGTCTTGATTCTACAGGGCCCCTACATCGACACCAGAGCTAGGTAAAGCTGTTTACTTTGAGAGCAGTATTATGAAGGCACCCGGCACATTATCTACCATATAGTAGGTTTCCTATAAACACCAGTTCACTTTCCTTTTCCTCCCTTTCTTCCTTTGACATGACGTGGTGAAACTTGTGGGCTTTGGAGTCAGAGTTGAATTTGAATCCCACATGAGAGTTACTTAGCTTCTCTGAGCCACAGTTTCCTCATTGGTGATTTCCCACCTTAAAGGATAGAGGCATGGATGACATGAAGTAAAACATTCGCCCTCAGCTCACTGTAGATCCCCGGTAAAGGATGCCACCTCCCCTCTCCTTCCTTTCCTTAAAAACCTCACGTATGTCTACATCGAAGATTCTGAGTGGCTGATAAATGCAGTATGCTGATCAGACCTCCCAGTTTAAATGAGAAATGGTGTTGAATAAAGCTTACGTTTATCAGAGTACACACACTAGGCTTACTAATAGAAGTTAGGACGTTTATTTTGGTATACAGTCAGTTCTGCTATAACTGACATATCTGTTCCTAAAAATCATGCTATGGAAAGTCATGCAACAGAAACCACAAGGCTTATGAGGAAAATGGAGCTAGGGAAGTAATGCTAAAAAATTTGTCAGTAACACGTATTAAATAGGAACCTAATATAAATGGGGAGTCCTGGTGGCGCAGTGGTTAAGAGCTCGGCTGCTAACCAAAAGGTCGGCAGTTCAAATCCACCAGCCACTCCTTAGAAACCCTATAGGATCGTTCTACTCTGTCCTATAGGGTTGCTGAGTCGGAATCGACTTGATGGCAATGGGTTTGTTTATTACTTTTGGTAATATAAACGGTGGTACAGTTTTTCATATGTTAAATGGTTAAGAAATTGTAATACTACAATAAATATGGCACTTTACCTTGAATAAGACCTGAGGATTACTTGCAAAAGTGGCTGTTGGAAGGGTTACAGCTTGTGAGTTATTGTAAAGTGGTGAAAGTGTTATCTGAAATGACACTGAAAGTTATAATACCACATATGGATGGGTGTGGTGCATAAAACACTATAAACTGAGGCAGCTGGGAGATATATATGGGTTTTGTGTATCCCTGCATGGCTGGCTGTGTTCAGCTAAATGAAGTTTTTTGTGTTTACCTGGTGTTTCTCATAGAGAAAGCCATGCATAAGCAAACATAAAATTTACATGATGCTTATATTATTCCCTTATGTATTGATCACATTGAAACAAATTTGTATTTTCAAAACAAGTGTTAAAGCAGAACTGACTGTACAGCTTCCCAGAAAAGGCCACCTTCCCTTAGGCAGTATCCAAAAGTAGAAGTAGAAAAACAACATAAAATATACAGGCAAACAGGACCATTAGCATCCTTTATAAAATGGCAAACATTATATATACGTATGTGTGTGTGTGTGTGTGTGTGTGTGTGTGTGTGTGTACATATGTATATATATGTATGTATGTATAGATACACATTTGTATCAATTTTTGTATCATTTATATATAGTTTATATATTCTAGGTAAGTGGAGTTATTGTCACACTGTGTTGAGTGTACAAGAAATGGGAGTATGGGAATGGGGTGGTTGTTGACTGTATTTTGTGGTGATTGTGGATTATCTCTTTGGAACATCTGCTACCTGGTTGTCCTTCCGTGTTGTTAGGTGTCATCAAGTTGTTTCTGATTCATAGTGACCCTATGTACAACAGAAGGAAACACTGCCTGGCCCTGTGCCATCCTCACAGTCGTTGCTATGTTTGAGCCTACTGTTGCAGTCACTGTGTCAGTCCATCTTGTTGAGGGTTTTCCTCTTTTTTGCTGACCCTCTACTTTACCAAGCATGATGTCCTTCTCCAAGGACTGGACCCTCCTATAACATGTCCAAAGTATGTGAGATGAAGTCTCGCCATCCTCACTTCTAAGGAGCATTCTGGCTGTACTTCTTCCAAGACAGATTTGTTAGTTCTTCTGGCAATCCATGGTATATTCAATATTCCTCACCAATACCATAATTCAAAGACATCAATTCTTCTTCCGTCTTCCTTATTCATTGTTCAACTTGAGCATGCATATGCACAATTGAGAACACCGTGGCTGGGGTCAGGCGCACTTTAGTCCTTAAAGCAATATTTTTGCTTTTCAACACTTTAAAGAGGTCTTTTGCAGTAAGTTTGCCCAATGCAATCTGTCTTTTGATTTCTTGACTCCTGCTTTCATGGGCATTGACTGTGGATCCAAGTAAAATGAAATCCTTGACAACTTCATTCTTTTCTGTGTTTATCATCATGTTGCTCATTGGTCCAGTTGTGAGAATTTTTGTTTTTATTATGTTGAGGTGTAATCAGTACTGAAAGCTTTAGTCTTTGATCTTCATCAGTAAGTGCTTTAAGTCCTCTTTGCTTTCAGCAAGCAAGGTTGTATCATTTGCACATTGCATAGATGATTTAGTTGACAGCGCCACCCTCACCACCCCATCTCACATGAACTTAACTTCATGGGTCAAACAGTCAAGAAGTAACTGTATGCTGTGTTTCTTGATTCACCCAGGTCTGTTTGGTAAAGATCTCTCTGAATGAATCCTTTGTTCAAGAAATAAACGTGATCATGAGTATATATGCTGCTAGGAAAACAGAAGTAGGCATGTAGTTTGTTGTTTTAAGAGGTGGTATAGGCTAAAAAGTTTGAAGAGCCCAGAAATAAACTTTAGTAGAGGTCCATGAACCCCTAGAATTGCTTATAAATTTGTGTTGGTAAGTGCATTTTGGAAGGAAAGGGTCCTCAGCTTTCTTTATATTCCCAAAGAGGTCTTTGATCCTGAAATGGCCAAAAAACCCTGATTTAGAAAACTCCATGGGATTGAGATCCATATGGGTTGTTTAGGGAACTTTAGAGCCATTTATGTTATATCCTAGCACACTGATACCATAAAGGGGAGCTGTTAAGAGTTTCCTCAAGAAGCACTCCTTGGTGTCACTGTCAAGGACAGCATGGAGCTGCCTCTACCTCTGGGTCAATCCTACATCTCATCTTTGATGTTTCCTTTAAAATTAGCCACATTGGTTGTCAGGGACTCCTTTTCTAACAAGGACTTTTGCCCTTCGACTCATGCTTCCTTTGATTTTATTTTTCAGATGGGAGCAGCGAGAGCTGCCCAACGGGCGTGTCTATTATGTTGACCACAATACCAAGACCACCACCTGGGAACGACCTCTTCCTCCAGGGTAAGGCATGGATGGATGAGCCTGAGACTAAGTAGTACCATGGAGTCACATGACCTCTTCACCATGCTGCCATATCCGTCTGCTTGTTTCCTCCCACTTTCTCCTCCTCTTTCTCTTTTTTGCCCCTCTTCCCATAGTCTTCCCCTTCTACATTCTTTCTTCTTTCTTTCTTTTTTCCCTTCTCCCCATGTGTTTTCTTTGGTCCATGACTGAAGGCCATGGGCTTTAATAAGTGGTATTTAGATCTAACACACTGTTGGGTTCTGGAGGAAGGAGGGCTGGAAGCCCCCTGGGCCATTGGTGTCTTGATGCTGCCAGTCATTTTATCCTACAGAGACATCCCTGTTACGGCCAGGTTTTCAGTCCCTTTTAGCAGAGGTAGCAAAGTACAGTGACATTTATCCCAGGTCACTTGCTTACTTAGTTCTGCTTTCATTTTCAGATGATACAGGCCGTCCCCAGATTACAAACAAGTTCCATTCCTAAATCTGTCTTTAAGTCGAATTTGTACTCTAATGTCAGTTAGTCAAATGTTTGTCTTAGTATACAGTATATAGTGTATCTTTCTATATATAAAAAACATTAAAGAAACACTTCCAGATATACTGAAACATCTTTAGCATAATAATTCAGTAATAATGTTTTGATGTGCGTTGTAAAGTAGCACCTATCTGTTGTTACGAACCATTGTATGTACCTCGAATTTATAATATATTAAGCTTTACAGGGGTTGGTTTGTAACTATGGACATTGGTAAACCCGGGGGCTGCCTGTGCTAGAGTTTTCGGAGCATCTCTGGAAGAAAAAGGCAGAGAGAGGTTGAGATAGAAAGAGTGTTGAGGCATTTCACAGTACCTTGTGCCCAACCTGCCCCTGAAGGCAGTGTGCTTCTCATTCAGCTGGGCTTTGTGGGAGAAAGCGAAGTCCTCCAAAATCAGAAGCTTCCAAGTGAAGGAAGATGGTCCAAGTTCAAGGAGAAGGGTTTGGTTCCCTGTTTGCCAGGGACAGAAAGTTCTTTCCACATGTGTCTCCCAATCCTGAGCTCTTTCACAAGGGAATGTATTCTGCTCTTAGGAAAGAATCACCTCCCAGTAAAGCAGCCCTGAAGGGCTCTTGCATAAAATATGAATGCTTCCGCTCCTAAGTTTGTGGAGAGAAAGAATGTCATCAGTGGGGAGTATGGAGAGAGCCCCTGTGCTCTGTTTGGTTCAGCTGTTAGGTGTGCACCTGGCAAATACCACTTCACCTTCTGGCTCCACATATTTCCACAGGTGGGCTCCCCTTAGCTTCAGTTTTCCTGTAGGATGCTTATGTTTTCCTCTTTTTTCTTGCCCTTCTGGGAGTGAAACTCATAATCTGTCATCATTAGTCTTCACTTTATTTTCTACTTTAGCTTAAAGTCAAGTTAAGTTACCAAAGTTCAACATTGACTTCTTAAATTAAAAACAGTTTGAACATTTTATTATAGAAAACTTCAAACACACTTAAAACTACGTAGAATAGTATATAATGAACCCCCATGTACTCAACACTCAACTTCAGTATTTATCAACTCATGGCCAATCTTGTATCATTTATACCAGGGTTTGATAAACTACAGTCTGTGGGCAACCAGCCTGCTACCTTTTTTGTAAATAAAGTTTTATTGGAACACAGATACACTTACTTGTTTATTTACTGTATATGGCTGTTTTTGCTCTACCATGGCAGAGTTGAGTAGTTGTGACAGAGACTATATGACCTGCAAAGCCTAAAATACCTGACCTGGCCCTTTACAGAAAAAATTGACAACCCCTGATCTATAACTCTCACCCACCCCCCATTCTCTGATCTATATTATTTTGTAGCAAAATCTCAGACATATAACTTTATCCATAAATATTTCAGTGTGTATTTCTAAAAGATGTTCTCTTATTAGAAAATAAAACCACAATATCATTTCTAGTATTTCCTTAATATCATCAAACACCTAGTCACTATTCAAATTTCCCCAAGTGTCTCACAAATTAAACACTGACTTTTAACAGTGCGTATTGTACACTTGTACTTTATGTATTTACAACATGTATGTTTAAAAGTAGCAGTAACTCTCTGTGTTTCCTGGTTGCTGCTTCATAACCTGTCTGGTATGTAAATTATGTGGGTCATGTCCTGGTGAGCATTTGGATGGAATCTAAATAAAGATATTCATCTTCTAAGGATGGCTGAGGAATTACTCTTCTTTCACTTTTAAGATTGGAGACTAGATTAAGCTTTCTCATTTCCAGGAGAGTTTTCAGAAAGCCCTGGTGGTGCAGTGGTTAAGCGTACAGCTGCTAACCAAAACATTGGCGGTTCGAACCTACCAGCCACTTTGCAGGATCTGTAAAGATTTACAGCCTTGGAAACCCTATGGGGCAGTTCTTCTCTGTCCTACAGGGCCAATTATAAGTTGGAATCGATTCCATGGCAACGGTTTCTTTCTTTCTTTTTTTTTAATGTTTTCTTGGGAGATGGCTCAACTTTACACCCACCTTTATACCCAGCTGAGCCTATTAATTTTTCTTAAGTTTTAAGCAAAGAGCTTTGAGCCCCTGACTCTTACTTCTGCTTTGTAATAGTTGGGAACCCAGAGAGAACAGGATGATTGAAAGCTTAAGCGTTCATGGCTAATTAATGGGATAAGTCCTGCCCGCAGGAACTATTACAATGGTGAGAGCAATTCTGGAACTACAGATGGAGCCATTATTCAGCAGACCCTAGTCACCAAGGAGCTAGATTGAGCCAAAGGATTCACTTTATCATGGGCATCCTTTTATGTCAAATCCATGGGAAACCTGTAGGAGGTTCATTTGTTTTATCCAGGACCTGGTAGCTAAGGATGAATGTAGTAATTTGCTCTTCAGTGATTCTGAGGCGGTACTCAGACCAGAGGTGAGCAGGGAGAGTGATCACTGTAGAGCAACAGGGTTGCAGAACGCCTCATGGAGGGAAGTGGATCAAACTCAGTCTTGCAGGAAAGGCTGGACTTACATAAGAGGAAAGAATTCCAGGTAGGGGAACAGTAGAGGCACCATTGTGCATGTGGGAATGTAGAAGATGTGTTTAGGGACCACTGCATGGAGCATTTTTGCCAGAGTGGAAGGTTTGTGTCAAACAAAAATTTTCAAATGTGTCCAGCCTATGTTTTGGTAGAGAGGCCCACTGGAACCAAAGAGAGTGAGAGGGCTGACTGGGCCTCAAACCACTGCTCTGTTTTTAAATACTGTATTGTGACTGTGCATAAAAGTTCATCTGGAATAAAAGGTGGGATCATGCTGCTTAGAAGAGTGAAATTCATCGGTACAGAGGATTTCTAGTTAAACATGGACTGAACATGTATTTATTTTCATTCCTTCCTCAAAACTCTTAAAATGGCAGTAAGTTATTAAAAAAAAAAGTGTAAATCCTCAATGATAAAGGAATGAAAGAAGAGAAATTGCATATGGGAGATGTTGATCGAAGTTTAATTGTTGATAGATAAATGGCAGAGCTGAGAAAGCAGAAACCCAAACCTACAGTGTGAGGTCTCCACCAGGAAGCTAGTTGGTTTGCACCATGGGACCCAGAAGGCCTCAGCAATTAGAGACACCAAGGGAGTGTGGAATGAGGCTAAAAACCTGAAGGTCAGTTTAAAATTTGTGCAAGGAGCAGTGACATTCCCAGGTTGTCAGCCATCACTCCCAACCCTCTGCTACACACACTCATGTAGCCACGTGACTGCTACAGACCCCAAGAAGCTCCTGAGAGAGCAGAACCAGCCTTGGAGACACAGCCGTAGTAGGTGAAGGCAGGGATGAACTCAGAAAATAGGATTCAGTGGGGTTCCATCCCCAGACTAAAGGCTGGAGGATTTTTTGCTGGAGAAAGTGACTAGTCTAAGGGAAAAGAGCTATAGATTTTGACATTTGGAAATCTTCTAGTGATACAGTGGAGCCTCTGCCTGATCACCCTGCTGTGAAGCCCACTAGGCACCTAGCCCCACCTAGGTGCACAGAGCTTCCAGTCAGCATTTTGTGGCTCACTTTTTCCCTTTAATTCTTTATTTTATTGTGTTTAAATACATGTAACAAAACACTTGCCACTTCAACTGTTTTTACGTGTACAGTTCAGTTCCATTTACTGTTTTGTGCAGTCATCACCACTGTCCATTTCCAAATTGTTTCATCGCCCTTAACAGACACTCAGTACCCCTTAAGCAATACCTTCCCGTTTCCTCCTTCCACTATTAGTGGCTAACTTTAAAATGTGAATGAACAGCCAAGGATCAGCAGACAGAAAAAAGGAACTTGGCAAAAATAATATAGGGAGCTGAAAAAATTTCAAAAAGTAAAACAAAACTATAATTAATATCCTTAGTGATTTTGGAGAAAATATAGTATCTGTACAACAAGAACAGGAGATCATAAAAAGAACCAGGCAGAAGACATGAAGAGCTTTGAGAAATTATAGACCCATTAAAACCCATTGCTGTCAATTCCGACTCATAGCGACCCTATAGGACATAGTAGAACTGCCCCATATGGTTTCCAAGGAGCACCTGGAGGATTTGAACTGCCGACCTTTTGGTTAACAGCCGAACTCTTAACCACTACGCCACCAGGGTTTCCAGAAATAATATATATATATAGAACAGCAGAAAGAAAAACGTTGATACAAGGGTTGAAAGATAAAGTTGGAGATAAGAAAATTAGAAGGTTGGACCAGAAGAGCCAATATCTGAATAGTAGTTCTAGAAAGAACAGAGAAATGGAAAACAGGAAAATCAAAGAAATAATAAAAGAAAATTCCGTACCTAAAGGATATAATATCCAGACTAAAAAGTGCCCAATAAGCACACAGCCCAGTGAATGAAAAAAAAACCCACCGAATGCCAAGAGAAAATCTCAACAGCTTCTAGAAGGGAAAAAACAGGGTACATGTAAAGGATCAGGAATCAGAATGCTCTTCTTCTCAATAGCAACTATGGAACAAAGCCTTCA